CTCTCATCAGAGAAAATCTAATTTTAATTATTTACTATTGCTCTGGCAACAATAGACCGCGGAGCCAACATGTTACTCAGGGCGAAGTGAGTAGTATGCACACTGTTGGCGAGTTAATGGAAAACCAGTGAATACGATGCAGTTGGAAAGGAAGCTTACATTGACTCTTCCAAACTTGAGTTGAATAATGGTTTTAGGATTCATAAAAGATGCAACTAATATCACTAAGATCAACTATAGGAAAGCTAAAAGTAGTGTTGCCTGGTGTAAATATAAACAAAGAATTAAGATAAAGCTAACATCAAGAAGCTGAGTGCATGGTTGTTACGTTCTCTATTTGTTTAACTCCATTTGGATATAACAGTACTAATAGCTATAATTTCGTTACATTCTTCTGTGTAAACAAAGTAAAGCTGTATAGTTCACTCAGGCATTGGTAAAAAATTTATGCATTCTAACAAAGTATGAATACTTCATTTTAGCTCAGGGAATATTACATTTTAGTAATCAATACAGCTATTGGTATCTTGTTAGTAATTTAGATGTATACATATATGCATATAAATTTATTTTAGGAAATGATTCTACCTGGATAGGATAAAGAACTCCCTGGATAAACTGCCTATTTCTGGTTGGTCTAGGATAATGTTTGACGTCAGCCTTATTTCGCCTCAGGACGCCAGGTTCTAGCAGATATTACGCCTTAGCTACAGGCGGAGGGGTATCTTTCTATACATTTAACAATATGGACACGTTTTGGATTGAAAGTGATCTTCAAATGGCAGCATTAAGATATTTCATGCACATGCCTTCAGTTTAGTATATCTTTAATTAACTCTCAAATAAGCCTCAAATAAGGAATGAGTAGCAGGCGTAATTGGGAATAAGTTTGATACTGAAAGATTCAGGTACATATAAACATAATTTAACTAAGAAAAATTTTATTATGTTGGCAATTGATGAGAGAAAAGATGCATTCAAAAATTGCTAAAACTAACAATTTAACAAAAGGATCCGAGAGGCCATTAGGATCCATCGGCGCGAGGTCGGCACAGCGGATTACCTCAACGCACAGTTGTTGCTTGTTCTCCAGGTAGCGCAAAGCCAATTGAATTTTCCCTCGACTCGACGTGTCCAGATCCTCTTCGCCACGCTGAGACTTTTGCTGCCATCGTTGCATAAAGGGTAATTGGCAAAAAC